GAAATTCTGTTTCTTTGTTGTTACTAATGTAGCCCCAACCCATAACAAAGAAACAGAATTTCTGGAGGATGAGGCCTAGAAATCAGGATTTTAAAAAGATTCCCAGGTGATTCTAATGTGCAGCCAAGGTTGAGAACCACTGACATAGAGGTTGGTGGGTTCATCGGAGTCATGGAGGTTGTTTCTGATAAAAGTTTAGAAGGTAACAGCAACTTGACCCTCAGGAGGGTCAAATGAGGACACTAAGTTGGGCGAAGCGTTCATTCCTCATTACTTGGGGTCATGAAAAGGTCAATGGGTTCACGAAGGGTTCATTTCTAATTACTTGGGGTCATATAGAGGTCAGTGGGGTCATTGGAGTCATGGAGGTGGTTTCTGACCAAAAGTTTAGAAGGTAACAGCAACCCGCTCTCCGAAGGGCCAAATGAGGACACTAAACTGGGTCATGGAGAGGTCAATGGGTTCACCAAGAGTTCAATCCTAATTACTTGGGGTCATGAAGAGGTCAATGGGTTTACCAAGAGTTCATTCCTAATTACTTGGGGGTCACATAGAGGAACCACTGGCTTTGAGAAAATTTAAAGCCAACAGTAAACTCAGAGCCAGTAGAGGGATCGAATGGCAATATCAGATTGAGGCTAGGAGAGGTCAGTGATTTGCAGATTTATGTAGCATTTAGTTCATTATTTTCATTTATTTCATTGTAATGTGTTTTTTCTTTTGGTTCCAGTGCCCCCACAATGAATACGACTTGAGTTCGTTATTTTTCTCCATAAACTCCCTTTCATCTAATTTTTGCTATTTTGTGTGAGTCAAGAATGCAAGACACAGGTTATCCTCATCACCATCATCAAATTAGCTCTTCACAGGCACCTACAGGCATACCTCATTTTATTGCGCTTTGCTTTATCGTGCTTCACAGATGTTGTGTATTTTATAAACTGAAGGCAAGACCCTTCAACAGCAAAAAATATTATGACTTGCTTTATTGCAAGACTTGCTTTACTGGAACTGAACCCGCCATATCTTCAAGGTATGCCTGTATCATGTGCCAGAAGCTACACTGGGTGCTTTACATAGATAAGCTCCACAACAACGCTTTGAAGTAGGTATTAGCATCACCATTTAAGTCTAGGAAACTGCAGTCTAGAGAAATCACACAGGTAGTGAGGGTGGAGGTGGAATCTAAGCTCAGGCCCCGCTGATATCTATAGGTCCTCTCAATACTAAACCTCGCTGTCCCTCCCATCTGTACGTCTCCCAACTGACCAGATACATCCTGAGGGCATTCATGCGCATGTGCACACAAGTCAAACACCTGAGCAATTTGGATAGAAGACTTCCTCATGTGGGGCTGGAACATAATGGTTCCTGGCACTGGGCACTGGTTTAATAAATTAATCAACGAGGGCAAAGGTTAATTCTTAACCCTGGACCTTCCTCTGCCTTCTCCATGCCTGAAATTATGTACTTTTCATCAGGGATGCGGGTTTAGACAAGCCCTAGTTCTGAGGGGTCTAGAGTTGGGAAAAGTGTAACACCCTGTGGGCTTACAAGTTGCAGCAGCTGTGGTCCTCCTGGCAGCTTAGGGTACCCATTATCCACCTTGCATGTCCAGACTTTGCCTGTGACATGCCTGAAGCCCCAAGGGTCATCTTGTCTCAGCTGCCCCGTGCCAACCCCACAATCCTTCCTTCCTCACCCACCTAGGCCCGGAAGCTGTTGCCTCAGTCGGGCCCCTGTAGCTCCAGGGCAGGAACTGGGCCAGGGTTCTGAAGCTGAGCTTGAAGCAGAGTCATTTGCGTCAGCCCCTTGGCCAGGTTCCCCGGCAGCCAGGGGGATACCTTGTGAAAGTTCTCGGAAGAGGGAGGAGTGCTGGCGCCTGCCCTGGGAACTGGAGCCAGGGAGATCAGAGGGAGTGTCTTCCTCCCATGGGCTAGCCTGGCCCTCTCCAGCTTCCATACCAACATCCATCCATCTCCACCCCAGGTCTTCATCCTCTGTCTGTCCTCCTCACCTGAGGGCTAGGCACACACAGTCAAACATGAGTTATTTCTGATTTTATTTATAATATAAAAATGTTCAAGTGTCAACAGTCAGGTGTTTGGACATTTCAGGGCAGGGTTCCCATTTGTTTGGGATATTTTTTAAACAATTACCTTTTGGACAAATTAGCAGTGGACCCAGTTTTCAGGGGTGAGGAGGTCGGGGCTGGAGAGGGAGTAGACGTCATAGGTGGGATGGAGGCTGGGAGTTGGACTGAGAAGGAAATGATGTTACTTTATTGCTAAAAGGGGGATCAAATACACTGTCGAGTGGCTCTTCTAGGTCCCAGCGTGACCATGCATCCAATCTAAAGAATCTGAAATGCAAAGAACATGCAGGCGTAAAGTAGAAAAGACGACCTGTAAACGAAGGTGCTGCAGAGGGCAAGGGGCGTCCTGGAGGCCATGGGGAGGAGGAGCCTCCAGCGTCGGGGGCCCGGCAGAGCTGCCCGCTCCCTGGGGCGGGGACTGGTGGGAAGACCTGGTTCTCAGTGCCTCCTCCCTTAGCAGCTGTGAGGAGTGGGGAGGCCCCCCGCCCCATTCAGGTTGCTGTCGCTGGGCCTTAGTCTCCCTCTTGACGTGACCTGACACCAACTCTAGCTCCAAGCCTAGGATCCCTGGCCTTTCCCAGGGGATCCAAGACTCGAGATCTTGCAAGGGGGCGAGGGCCCACCCATCACTGCCCCGCAACTGGGTTTCTCCCAACCCCCCAACCCTGCAGCCTCTTTTCTACCTGCTTTCTCTCACCCCCACCAGCTCCGGATCCTACAGCCCCCCGCCCCCACCCCACAACCCAGACTTTTCTCCAGGAGCTCCAGATTAGCGTACAGCAAAAGGCACCACAATATAGGTTTCTATTAAAGAGTCAAAAAATTGGCCCATCTCTCTTTTTTTTGTTGTTTCTTTTTTTTTTCCCGAAGCTGTAAATCAGGATGTTACATATAAATAGTTTCCCTATAAAAACGTCTTTGCCGTTAGCTAGTATTGTAAGACAATTTTTGCTAAAATGAAAATAAAACATTTTGTTATACCTTTTTCCTTTTATAGAAAATAAAAATATTTTTATTTCTTTTTTTCCTCCTTTCTCCAGTTGGTGGTCGCCCTTCTCCTTAAAGACAGGGGAGGGAGGCGGGCCCTAGAGGGGCGCCGAGTCCTGCTTGGCCCGCGCGGGCCCGCGGCTGTGT